ATCTTCTGGAATCAATCAGATTGCCATACACTAGTGTGCTTCCATTGCACCTTGATTTCATGATATACAAAATGATATCAAACACTGACAACCTTTTTGATCACGACTCAACCATAGACTGAACCTATTCCTGTTTTTAATGCCATGTGCCTATAAAAATAAAAGCAAAGAACATAAGAACACAGTGTAATAATGTAAGAAGTACCATACTGGGTCAGACAAATGGTCCGTCTAGCTGAATATCCTGACTCCAACAGGATTTAGAGGGAAAGCATTGAACTAGATATACATATAATGTCTGTACCTGGCCTAGATGTCATTTTACAAGGATTTGCTGGTTACTTTTAATGTGATATGGAATGGGTTGCTAAAATTATATTTTCCCTTGTGACAAATGTAAAAAAAAACCCAAAACCCACACACATTTTACCCTAATTTCATCTACATTTGTCTTTGAATTTTCAGGTGCTTGGTTTTTAGTGTCCCCAAAAAAAGAGGTTTTCAAAAGTTTCTTATTTTCCCCTCAAGATTCTGAAAAATTAAAAAAAAAAAAGAAAATCTTTATTTAAAAAGCCATTCTAGATTGAGAAGTGTTTTGATGGCAAAAATCACAATGATATCTAAAATTATTCTCATGTTATTGTGTGTGTACATACCATAGGTTTAAGAGGAGTCCTGCATGTGTGAAATCTCACAGGGCTGTGTTTACAATGGTATTTAATGATTGCAGAGAAGTGCTTCATGGGATTGGCAAAAGTGTCTTAGCCTGTTAGGACTCAAAAGACTCAATGGGAGGTAGGTAACTAACTTGCTTAAGTGCTTTTGTAAATCCTGCTAGGCACCTGTTTGCAAATGTGCTTAGACAAATAAAGACTGCAAACACAGTCCAGAGGCCCTCACTGCACATGTGACCCAGGGGCAAAGACAAAGATAAGGCCTCACTACCCTCCCATCCATTTGCTTATCTTGATGCATGGATCTTTGGCTTTTACCCATTGCCCAAAGGCCAACTGTTGCTACCATGAGCATTTACAGCATCTTACTGTCATAATAAAAAACATGTCTGCAAGGTCTGAGTTTCTGCTATTTTGCACCTCGTGCAACATGAACACAGGACTAGAAGAGACCTCCTGTTATAATTGGCAAGCAAAGAGTAGGAGAACAGAAATCCCCAACTAAACACAAAAGCAAATTAAAAACAAAACCATAAAAGCAGATCTTTAACACACTGCACACAAAATCTAAGCATTAACCAGATTAATAAACTCTATTGTATTGTATTGTATACTGATGCTAACTAACCTGAATCTCTAGAAAACAATTTGTTAGAGTGAAAGGTGGGCACTAAGCTACCTGTCTAAACCATTTTTATCACCCTGATCTCTTAGTTCACCTAACCTAAGCTTCTGTGCAGTGATGCAGGATGCCAGATGATCCCAATTGTTACCACAATATTGAAAGAAAACAGCAAGCTCCTCTTCATACCAAGCTATGCAGGGCTTTTTAAAAAGTTAGAAACACCATAAATTGCACCAGGAAGTGAAGAATCTACTCTAGAGACTGGAGCACTAACCTTGTATGCTCACAGTGAGGCACAGGACCATGGGGCCATTCAACACCTCCTGAATACTCCGGGAGGCATTCAAAAGTAATCCTACATAGACTGTTAAAGCAGTATATCCTGAAGATGACAGAGCCCCAGCTGATTACAGAAAAGTTTGCATGAAAAGGTACGGAAGAAGTTTGGAGTTTGCTAGCCAGACACAGACTATCACAAGTACTTTGGGCCACTCATTCCCAAGAACTGTAGAACATGAACAGATTCAAAATGATCCCCAGGTTATCCCATGGCTCTTTTGTAACTGTTGCAACATTAACTGTGTTATATATTTGAAAATCTCATCTGCATTGCCATTTATGGCTAGAACACTGATTATTCTTTAACCTCCCTGCTGTTCTGCATCCTCATATTAGCATCAAGTAATCTCCGCTTCAGTTTTAATGTAGTATTTTGAATTATGAAGCAGTACAGTATGGTATCCCTTCATGCCTACTTATTGCCGTATTTTCAATTATGCTCTTTAGCACTAGCAAGCCTTTGTGAAAATATCTTATGTTATAAAAATATTATTTTTAAGTGGCTGCATTATATTATGCCATATGAATTAAATCTTATGCTAAATATGGCTTTCATGTTCAAAACACTGAATGACAAAACTGTAAAATATTTTCCATCGGCATTGTTATGGCACACCACAAATTCTTTTTAAGATACAAAATCAAACAAGCCACATTTGAAAAATGTCCAGGAGAGGACTTGGGGTGGAGGTAAGAAATCAGAAGTCTCTTTATTTTTTATATGTTGCATGACACAGTAAGATGACTGATGCTATAACAGTGTTTTTACTGTGATTATAAAACTATACCTAGGATTTTATATTTAAAATGCTTTGATTAAACTTCATTTGTTTGTCTTCGATGCTAAAAATAATCAGATTGATGTGATTAAAATGAAGTTTTGATTAACCTGGTTACCACCCATTTTAAACAAATGTGCACATTATTAATGTCTGCATGTGCAGTTGATTTGATTACTGTTCACATTACTGTGCCTAGCCATGTATTAGCTGAACTGACAAGCAGATTCTATTTTTGGCCTTGAGAAAATTAGCTCTTTACTGAGGTATGAATATTTATTTTTTTTTAAAGTTCTGGAAATATAACAATACAAGGAATGGAACTGTAAATGAATTTGCTGTTTATCAGCACTGCTCACTTTGTGTGGGGACATTAATTGTCTGCAAATGTGTGATATCTAACAGTTCCATATATCCTATGAATGACTGAGGTGGAAAGGAAAACTAAGGATCCTTTAAGATTCATCTGGGTAGAACCTACAATTGCTAACTGCGAACAACTTTAATTTAAAATGGAATGTCTATCTCCAGCCTTTCAATTGACAAAAGCAGAATCTTGTTGTCAAAGGAAATAGAGCCAACTTGACAGAGTAGAGCCAGTTTGAAGTTTCATGATTGCCTACATACCTGTATAACCATAATAGACCTAACAGCAACATACAGGAGCTCTTTTACCTAGCTTCAGACCTTCCAACCTGCAGTGAGCTGAGTATTGTGAGTTGAAGAAAACATTCCTCCTCCTGCAGTTTACAAACTCATGCCTTTATGCTAGAAATATCTTCTAATAAGGAGACTGAGCATATTGATGTTATTTCTTTCCCTTAACTAGGTTACCTTCCACCTTCATCTGATCAAACTGATTAGTGTAAGAGCACATGTTTTTTTATTGAATGTAATGTATTCAACAACCCCACTTTCCTTACTTTCACAATTCAAAAAGCAACAGATATATACTGGATCTATTTCCCAGAGACACAGTCCCTTCTTCAGAGAAATATGCCCAGATAATTGTGTTTCCAACAAGGAATCAGTACTTCTAATGTACTGTTGCCCAATATGCAGTATTTCCAGATGTAATGATATAGAATAGCCAGATAGCTTGTAATTGTGTACTACAGTCAACAGATCCTGCACACTTCCACTTAATATAGGCTAATTCACAATAACCCATTGTTGATACCTCAATTAACCTTCTCCCAATGGTGGTATTTCAGTCTTCATGACAAATGGTTGAGTTTTATATAAACACAGTTACAGAAAGGGTGGAGGGGCAGAGAGAGGAATTTAACAAGAAGAAGGCATGTGTGTCATGCCACAACTTCAGCCCTGGGGCCTCAACTTGGCAACACAGCCACCTCCATGCTTGTCACCCAAGCTGGCCAAGGCTGGTCTGAAGCTTCTAGTAGGACCTAACCCTCCACCCCACTCCCTGTCACTAAAATGGTTAGCTGGGGTCAGCTGACCCTCCACTTCCCCCATATAAACACCTAAACTGAAAGAGGAAGTGCCCAGGCAACAGGGCTCAACCTGACCCAAGACCACTGTGCTGTTCCCTCCGGCTGGCTCCTTGGCTTTGCTCTGTATATGATCTCTCTGCTTCTTAACCTGGCTTGCTCCTGGCCTTTTCTCTCTGTTTGATCTTCCAGCTTCCTGACTCAGCTCACCCCTTTTCTCAGACTGAACCTCTGACTTCCTGACCTGGTTTGACCGCTGAAACTGCTTACTCATCCTGACCCTGATCAGCGTCTTGACTGCCCAAGGGGCCCCAGATCTAGCCACCCACATCTCAGTGTGACAGTGTGCCATGTCATTAAACAATTATATAGTCTTTCTTAGTTATTTTGAGGTAAACCTCAAGAGCAGATTAAAAAAACCCATCAATCCTCAGTCTTGAAGATGGATTCTCAGCTCAATGGGCTAAGGATCAAAGGGCATGTCTACACATGTTGCTATGGTGATGTTGTTATTGCACCATGATTTAGTATTTCCTTGGAAGTACTAAATCATGGTGCAGTAACACCCTGTACTGCACCATGTACATGGTACATGGTTATTTTTAGCAGCTATTTCGCCATAGCAGGGCACTGTACCAAGGAAGCGCATCATTATAGCAAAGTAGCTGCTGATCATTTGTAGATGCCTATGGATGCTACATTGCCATAGCGTGTTGCTATGGCAACATACCATTGTGTGTAGACATGTCCAAAGTGTAGCTCTGATACTGCTATTCTTTCAGGACCTAAGAGTGATTAAAGGAAAACAAAGAAAGTGTTGGTCAGATGCCATATGACTACATTTTTATAACCTTATTCAGATGCATTCATTTTTATTACATGTTTTGGCATATAGAAAAAATATAATTTCCAGGGATAATAGTTAATTCAAATAATCAATCATTAATAAATGTAGTTCTGAAGTCCCAAAAGCTACAACCAGTTGGTTCTGGAGCTTTTTGGATAAACAACCTGCAACCTGTACAAAAGCTGCATGTTTTTAAACTTTCACTATCCCAACTGGTTCCCAGTTAGCACAAAAGCAATAAATGTAAAATGCAAACACCCCTGTTCTGCTGCTTAGACTTACATGGATTGGTGAGGCAGGGTCAGGTTGAACACTCTATAAACAGAACAGAAAAAAGTTTATTGGATTCTCCTTCCACAAGATTACATACAATTTCTTGGAGAAAAAGCAGACTTGCCCCTTACCTTTAGAAGGGAATACTGGCAACTGGCCATAACAAGACAGAACAAGAGGACCCAAATATCTTTACAAAAGCCTTGGTTCAGTGTTAGGAATCCAAGAAAAGAAACAAGAACTACTAGAATAACAGCCAACACATTCTCCTTAATGTCTTGAGTCCTACATGAATAAAATAAATAGGCGTTACTTTTAAAAAGGAAGAAAAAAAGGATTTATTTATTTATCAAGGGCCTGACTGTCAGCCTGCATAAAATGTCATTGCTCTACTGACTTGAACTACAACTGATAGCACCTGAGATTCTTTACCCAGAACTCTGCATCAGCACCTACTTACCTACATATAAAACTCATGTACCTGAGGCTTCATAGCTGTGTTTATCATTATGATACCTAAACCTCACAAAAACATCTGGGTATTTTATTTCATAGATTTGAAAGCCAGCAATGACCCTTATGACCATATAACTTGACTTACTGAATAGGAATTCATAAAGTAACATGTACATCTGAGCAGATATTTGTCTGTGTTTTATAAAAAGTTTAATGTATAGTTTTCCTTGAGGAGACAGAAACCTTCATTTAACTAGAAAGCAAAAGACAAAATATAGTATGTGACCAAAAGAAGGAAATGTATACCACTTCCAGGTTAAAACTGCTTTAAATACACAATTTGTCCTTACATACATTACAAAAGACATTGGTTATACTATATCCAATTCACATATTTAATCTGATCTGTTAGAACACAGGTGCCTAGGAAAGTGAACCAGGCCTTCAGTTTGTAAATAAGAGTGCTTCAGTGGATATGCCTCATGCATTAGAAGTTTGCTGGCTAGATACTATGGTTGCTGTAGCATGCTAAAGCTGTCTTCTGACATTTCTGCAGTGGAGCTCATATTAGCATGACTATATGATATATTCACTAACAGGGATCAAAGCTCATGACAGGCCAGACTACAGTTGTTGGCTATGTTGTCTTATATGTTTTGGGTTGATAGTAGTCTAACATATTATATTACATCTAGTAATGGGAACTGGCAAAACAACTAATTCCAACTGAAATGAGAAAAGGAAAGGAGAAATGCCACGGTAAAAAAATTAATTTTGGTAGGCAACTGTAATTGTGAATGCAGAGAGACTGATTATCCCATAGTTTAACACCGATATGAACCAAGGTCGCTTCTCAGGACAGCAAGCCACAAAAATTAGCTGTAAAGGCCGAAGCTTAGACGATAGAAAAATATTTTTCACATCTTTAAATCAAACAGATATGTTTAAAATAATCCACATGATTTACTCCTTTAATAAACAGTTTGTGCTATTAACTTCAAGGGCATTGACAGAAGTGGAATTTTTGCCCAATCTGGCCCCTAAAAACACTTTACAGCTGTGACCTAACACAAGTACACAGCTGCAGAGCACTTTAAAAGGGCCCAATCCCTTACATGAGGGTTCAGGTGAAGGCATGCCAAAGCAAAGTGCCAGGGGGGGAAGAGAGAGGAAGGAGTTCATTCTAGGGGTTGCCAAGCTGAAGCTGAAGGGTGGGGCTGGTGAAGTGGAGCCGCCCTGAGGTGGCTGTCCAATCCACCCACCCCAATTGCAGCGCAGACTGGGAAGACCCCAAAATGGACCTCCCTCCCCTTCCTCCTCCCCCTCCCATGCCAAGGCAGCACTGGGGGCTGGAAGAGGAGGGGCAGGGATAGGGGAAGAGGCTGAAAAGAACCCCTCTGTCCCTGTATGGGGTTCAATCCCCAACCCTCCTGACCCAACCGCTAACATTTGTTGGGTTGGGAGGATTCAGGTAATTCATGGCACTTTCCATTAGACCAGGAAGCTGCACTTCTGTCTGTGCCCTAAGGAGCAATTCAAGCCACAGTTCATTACACCCATAAAAATAAGCAAGTGGAGGAAATGGAGGAAGCTTACCGGTCCAGCAAAGCCAATAAGGTTAGTCGATCATACCAGACTTTAATCCACTTCCCAGGAAATACAATAAATTTGTAAAACTGCCTGTTAAATTTTCGTTGTGCTGAAGAACATGAAGAGTCCTCGAGGTCCTGACTCAGATGCTTTAAAACAAAAACAAACCAGCCACACAAACGTGTACACACACACACACAATTTCATATGAACATACTGTTGCCAGTAAAGTGCGTTTTCTAAGAGGCAAAACTTTGCATGAAAAAATTCTTATCAATATCTTCATAAAATGAGCAGTAGCAAGAATTTGTTTTCTTCATTTTAAGAATAAAAAACATAAGGCATTAACCTCATTTCTTGCACATAGTCAGGAGTTTTACCAGTCATGTAAAAAACCTTTTGATAATATTTTAATACTCCTTTTAACATATTACTTACTTATTACTTAACATATCGCAATGTGTCTAATTATTCTGACTCCATCTCTTATCTGTAGATTTTAGACTCTTCTCAAGCATTAGGCCAATTAGAGCACACCTCATGGGACAAAATTCTAATCTTTGACATACAAAGCACTGTTTACAATCTGGACACTTTGTCTGCTACCTCTCATCACAGGCTGCAGGACTATTTACCTCTTTTTGGATGTCTCAGGGGTAATATCTCTGAAAACAGATAAGGTATGTGTCTCAGATCACAAGGGGTGTTTATGCATGCACTCCGGGAATGAGGTGCTTTAATCAGTGCGACACTTAGAGGTACCTGGGGAGTCAGGTTGTAGTGTATCAAAATTCCACTGTCTATATTGAGCCCATGACTTTCTGCACCTAGGAGATTGATGAAATGCAGTTCATAGGCTCGTGTGTGAAAAGTGGTTTGTAAATTCAAACAAGCACTAAACCTCACTAACCTCATCACCAGAAGCCAACTTCCTACACCTCAAAACACACAGAATGGATCCAGGCTAGGCCATGCCAAGACATGCAAAACCTGCCAACAATATCTCCAGTATGAAGATATCTTCACAATAAAATAGGTATCTCCATCAGGGCACCAAGTTTCCAAATGGAAAATACGTAAGAGACACCAAGCAATAACTGTGCACCAGAATGAGTGCATACCACCCATCTCCAATCCCTCAGGCCTGATCCTTAAATGGAATTTACAAACCACTTTTCACAGACGAGCCTATGAACTGCACTTCATCAACCTCCTATGTACAGAAACTCATGGACTCAATATAGACATTGGAATTATGACACGCTACAACCTGCTGCACATTTGACTCCCTACATACCTCTCAACTTTTACCTGCTACCCCAGCCTGTACCTCACCCCCTGACGTCTCCATTTCCATTTTCACTGACTGGCTTCCTTGCCTGCATTGCGGGCCAGGCCAGCCTCTGGCTTCTTTACTATTCCTTCCATCCAGGAACAGCGCACACACCAACTGCAGGTGCTTCCTCAGCCTGACAAAGGGTTTTTCAACCCGAAAGCTAGCACCCCAGGCAGCTAAGCTGAGCTCACGTGGAGCCTCACAACTCCACAGCAACCAGCAAGCCTCAGGCCTATCATGGACATGATGGGTCTGAGCTTTCCCCACCCAGGACTGTGTGCATGCGTGTGGCAGCTGAAGGTTAGGGCACCTCCTACCCACCTTTCACCAGGGAGATGATCCTCAGTCCTGGCATTTCCTGGGGCTGCCGCACCGCCAACAGTTCCATCAGGCCTCCTGGCCCTGGCATAGTGCCATTTTAGTGGTCATGCCCAGGACCTGGGGTCTCTTCCTTCCCCACAGCCCCAGCCCATACCTCCAAGCTCATCCTGACACAGGAGCTCAGCAGGGACATGGTCTTCCCATGCTGGCTGGTGATGCAATGAGTGCCACCTCCAGCTCTGAGAGCAGGGCATTAAATGGTTTTAAATATTTGAAAAAACAGTGAATGGATGGAGTGAGGAGGGTGGCACTCACTCCATCTGTACCTAGAGCTTGGGGATCCCCAGCAACAGGAGGTTCACCTTGAGGAACAGCAGGTGCTCCACCAAACCAGGACCCAAGGTGTGGTATCACTACTTCACCAGCAAAGTTGAACACCCTCTCACTTGGAACACTGGTTAGTGGACAGGACAGGTGCTCTCAGGCAAGCACGGCCAGATCTGGCTGTGGCTTGTCCAGTAGGCCAAGGGGTCACACAGCAGCAGCTCCACATCCTCAGCAAGATAGGCAGCCATCAAGGCTTGAGCACTACCTGCCTGATGGTGGGATTTGGTGTCTCTGGACTCCACCATATAAGCCATGCACTTGGCCCACACATGGCAGCCAGCACATGGACCATACTGGACCACAAGAGATCAAGCCATTTCCTGATGCCCCTCTTTCAGCCGCCTCAGCAGTGCTTGCACATCTGGTAACAGTGGCTTGCCCCAACCAGGAACATTGATCCCCTACAACTTCTCCATTTGGTTTTGAAGTTCCTTCATTATGAGGATCACTTGGCTAAGGAAGGCATCGCCAGCGGTGAGGGTCTCGGTGGCCTTGAGGAAGGACTTGAGGACTACTAAGATCTGGGAGATGGTATCCCACTGAGCTCTGTTAAGGGAGCCACTGATCCCAATCTCCCCGAGCAAGGCCATCTCATGGATGGCCTTCTGTTGCTCCACCAGCCTCTCGAGCATCAGGTATGTGGAGTTCCACTGAGTCTCCATGTCCTGGATGATTCTGTGCTGTGGAATGTTCAGCTCTGCCTGTTTTTCCTGCAGCATCTTCCCCCCTTAATGCTCCAATGGAAGTAGTCTGCCGCCTTCCTGCATTTTGAAATGAGCTTGCTGGTGGTGCTGGTACCATCACCAGCAGCCCTTGCCCCCTGACAGTGAGGTGGAATTTGTGTGCCATACAGCAAATGCCAACAAAGTTGGCATCACAGACCACCTTGGCCATACTGGCCCCATTGTCAGTGATCATGAACCCGTGGGTGAGCTCGCCCTGTCCAATGAGCCACCCCGCATGAAGCAGTTCATGGCCCCCATGATCTCTGTTGCACTCGGCCATCACCTTGGCTTGAAGGAGAGCCCACTGATAACCTGACTGGTCTCACCAGTGCCCTGCAAGGGAGAGGTAGGCGTGATCTCCACCCTGGCTGCTCCAGATGTCCGAGGTGAAGTGTAAAGCCACCTGTGGACCTGCCTTGTGCAGCTCCTCCCTGAAGTACTCCCTGTATACCTTATACACGGAGGGCACCACTGCCCTACTGAAGGTGGTGCATGTGGGCACCTGGTATGAAGGGGCCAAGAGCACCATGAGCTGCCTGAACCCTGGCTGCTGCTCAATGAAGGAGAAGGGCTGGCCATCCACAGCAAGCATTGCCCAAATGCTCTGGGTGATCTCGCTCGCCCTTGTAACTCACCCCCCTTTCTGTCTGCCTTTCTCCCACTGTTCCAGGATGGCCTGCTTCTGCTTTGGGGAGACAGGGGCTTTAGAGTGAGAGGGGGACTTATTTTTGGGCACGCTCCCACTGGTGCCAGGCTGAGGAGGAGCAAGAGCAAGGGGGTGATGCCTGCAGAAATGCAACAGCATCCCTGTGGTGCTTATGTGTTTCGTTCCCTTGCCCTGGCTGGTTTTGGCTCAGCAGTGCAGGCAGATAGCATATGTGGGATCATCTGCCAGCTCAAAATGAACCCAGACCACATTACCCACTTGCTTCTGGGGTGCGGGTGCATGTTGAGATGCTGCCTTTTCCCCTTCCTCAGCTGGCAGAGGCACAGCAACAGGAGTAGAGGACTCAACTGAGACACTTGCCTCAGCACCCTCTACCGCATCCTCCTCTGAAGTGCCTTCTGGGGAAGGAGACCTGGCTCTAGGGGAAACTTGAGGGGTGTGGAGCATAAACTCAAAAGATTCCCCCTCCTTTCCCAGAATTTCCCTTACTATGGCACTCAGTTCCAGCTCCAGCTCTTCCTCTGGCACTGGAAGGCTGAGTATGGGAAGTGAAATGGGGGTGGAAGAGACTGTCATGCTGGTGCTGTTGCTTGTTGTCATGGTGATGGTGGAGCAGGTTATGGCTGTTGCTCTTGGAGGGGATGCAGACTCAGGCACAGAGAGTGGCACTGCTCTCCTCTCCTTGCTGCCTATAGAACTAGTGGAAGTCTCATGCCTGCTTGTTGTAGCAAAGAGGCTGCACCTCAGTTTGGGTGGCAGGGGAAACTTATAGCTCTCCCTCTACCCCCTCTTCTGCCCCTCCCTGAAGGCTTGCCAGCTGCCTTTCCAGCACACTTCATGGTGTGTTTCATAGTGTCTTTGCCTTGGTGTGCTGGAAAATCTGTGTGTTCTTCTGTAATGTTATCAGATTTGTGTAATATATGTAAATAATTGTATACATAAGTGCATTTTTGTAATGTATGTATGTATTTATGTGATAAATAAAATAAAGATATATAAATGTATGCATCTGTTCCTGCATAAATTCTATATTATACCATGCAATATATGCTGTGCTTCCCTGCACAGTGAATAGAATGCATACTGTGAGAGAAAACAGATTTGAAAAGAATCAAAATAGACTAACAAAAACAAAAAGAGGATTTTGAGGGAGGACTAAATGGAAAGGAATCAATGAATATAATAATAAAATAAAAGGGTATAGAAAGCAAAAGGTATTGATGAATCCCACTTGCTAGGCTAGCAAGTAGGAAATGAGTGATAGCCTTTGTTGTCTGATGCTGCTGAGCTTCTGGAAGACAGCTCAGTAACTGACCCCAAGGCAGAAAGCAGCTCAGTTCAAACTATGTTGCTTTTTATGCTGTTTTTCCATCCCTCCCCCAGAGCATGGGGGTTAGAAGGGACCTCGGGGAAGGATCACAGTCACTGGCCAGCTACATAGTCAATATCAGAGCAGTCCTTCCCCCCCCCCTTCCCTCTCCTTACTTTCTGTTTCCCTGCAAGCAAGCCCAGCTTCGAAACTTGAAACGTTTCGAAACGTTTTGACTGCCCTTGTTTTGAGGCTGTTTTAAAGGCCTTCATTTCATTTTGATTTCACTGTTTTGAGCTCAAAACGAATCAAAACAGCATTGAAATGAAACAGCCAGCAAAATTTCGCACAGCCCTTGTAACTACCACACTCCAGGCGACTCGATTAATTTTAAGTCTCACTGCATATGTATAGGTGCACAAGATTCTTAACTGAACTAAGTTTAATAGAAAAACAGAGAAAAAAAATCACATCAAGTTCATGTAAATCATAGGTGTCAAACCTGTTTGGCTCTGCAGGATGGATAACCTGTGAGCAGCCAGAGTGCTAATCCCTAAGGCTGCTGAAAGTGCTGTTTCAGCACAGCTCTGGAACTCAGGGAGTTCATACTGCTGCCATTTTCCTTCCCTTCCCCCCGCTACTGGTTTTAGTCACCGGGGCAACTAAAACCACCACTTTTGACAGCAGGCTGAGGAGGATTGGGGAGAAAAGGTAAGCAGAGTTAACTCCCTGGATTCCAAAGCCACTCTGAAACCACAGGAAATAACATTGCTGCCACAGGGGTTTTGATAGCTGCAGCGATAAGTTCCATGTGCCATGTTTGCACTGCAGATGTGAGTGGTCCAGTCCATGAGAAGCCCTATAGGCTGGATGACCAAACTTCATGGTCCAGAGCTGGCCTGTGGGCCATGTTTGACATCTTTGGTGTAAATGTATAAATACCATCAGATACAAGCCTCTCTAATCTCATCTTGATAAACCCCAAATCCTGAATTTAAATAAAAGAGAAAAAGCTAAAGTTAAATACTCACACTTGTAGACTACTGCTTCTGTGAGTTTCTAAAAACCCTTTCATCTTGATTATGTCTGCACTGAGAGGTTTCATGAGAGAAGCAAGGGTTTAGGGGTTATTTTGGTGATACCTTCTATTGGACCAACTGTATGGTTAGGAGAGACTAACGCTGGGAAAGACTTTGTGTCCAAAAGATATCACCGAAAAAGTCCTTGTTTTTTGCATATTTCCTGGACAATAAGAGCTACAACAACACTCCAATTCAATTTTTATTTTAAAAACCTGTATTTTCAATTCTATTACTTTTCTAATTTGGTTTTATTAGGAGAAAAAGGAGTTCTAAATGGGCAGAGGTAGCAGAGGAACAGTTTTACCATCTAAATAGATCCTAGGATCCTGCAATCCTTTCAGTGTGCACCTACTTTTAAGCCTGTGAGTAGCCTCATTGATTTCTGGAGAATTACGCATATATATATATATATATATAAGTTCAGCATGTGCACACAGGTTTGCAGGATTCATGCTTAGATCTGGACTTCTACATTTTATTTAGAGTTCTGTCCCCAACCAGCTGTGTAGCCTTAAACAAGTCATGTGTTTTTGTTCATTTATCCACAAAATGAAGGAAACACTACCTAAGTAATTTATATTAATGTCTGAGGCACTGAGTTACATTCTAGCTTCACTGAAGTCAACAGCAAAACTCCCCCAGACTTTCATAGCATCATGATTTCACCTTTTCGTCACAAGAATAGAAGTAAAAAAGAAGGGAGATCTCTGCCTGACTGCCTTAAATGTGCAGTACCATCTTGGACTAAACACTTCAACTCTTAATCCATCAGTTTCTTGTAGCTAAAATAAAGGTGAAAAATAGTACCCAAGGTCACAGGCTTTTTAAAGGATTAAATATTTGTGTAAAGAATTCAAGACCTAGTATAGAAGTCTCTTTACAAATACAAATAATAATTTTATATGCATTTATTACAAATATAGGCAAAACCAGAGTTTAAAGTTGAAAACAGTCACTTTCCCATACTGAAGGCTGTCAGCTCCTAGATCCTATTAAAAAACTAAGTAAAAAAATAATTGATGCTTTGAATTATTAATACAAACATTAAACTAGAAATAGGCATTTGGAAAAGTGGAGGTGAAACCCTGTGATGCGGAAGAGTCCAGATTCTTAAAGATAGCCCAAAGAGAGTTACACAGGCCTCAGATTTACACACACTGCAAAACTATGTTATTGTCCTATTACAAAATACATTAGCTCTAAAGGCCTTATTCTGTTAAGTAGTGGGCAACTCCAGCTTTTGGGACTTGGGAGTGTCCTGACATTTCACAAAAAATATCTAAGACCTAAGAGTATTTAAGCTCACTTCAGGTAAGTGGTGACTGACTTAATATTTTAGGCTTAAATGCCCATATAAATCTAACTAGTAAATCGGTCATACTACTAAACTTGGGAAATGTGCATAAGATCCCCAGAGTGGTGCCCTCTTTTATTCAAACTTAAGTAAGTTTCAGGATATGAGACTGACTGTTTATACATTGGTATTCTCTTTGAACAGCTAACATGGGTCTTACACAAATGCTTGGCAGCACTAGATGCACAGTAATCCTTAAATGCTATAAAAGAAAAATAAAATTACTGTGGCAAAACTGTCGTTTTTTACCCTACTAAAAATGCTCTGTTAGGCTCCAGTTTCACCACCCTGGCTCACAAAATGATCCCTTATTCTGCAAAAAGCACCTTTGAAGTGAAAGGGATACCGAATATAAGAAGATATTACTGTGTGTGAGAACCGATAGCAGAACTGTGTTCATAATAAGCATTAAAAAAACTCAGTAGAGCAGTACTAAACTAATCAATACAAAAGAATTAGCGCAACTGCATCAACAGCAGGGATTCTTTTCTGCCACATATTAACGGAACATGATTCATTAAAATTCTAGAAAATTAAATATTATATATACCCTGGGTGTTTCTGAAAGGGTTCTTCGAGCCATCATCAGTAGAAGCTGCTGCTGGAGTGCACTTGCTGCTTGATCACCTGAAGATGGTTCCTGACTCTCTGAAGTGGTAGTACTAGAGGAGCTGAATTGTATTTCACTGTGCAATAGGGATAAAAAGAATGGAATGGATTTAGAAAAAGTGATGTTAAGAACACAAAACAATTTAGGAGGACTACTGGCTCACAGAACTGGCAACAGAACATGGAACCTTCCATCCCGTCTAACAAAATCTAGCCTAGGTCCTAGTGGTCCAGAGTAGTTACTAATTATCCAATAGCTGTTTTATAATTCTAAATAGAAAAACGTTATCTTCATCCATTATCATAATAGGTGTTATAGCTGGTAGTCTCAGTAGGGATGTCAAGGATTAAATGGCACCGAGATGCAACTCTTTGGATGTATCTACACGTGATTATTTAAGGCATATTAGCCATTTTTAAAGTTTATTAATGGCATGGGTCTACATGTTTGCTTTTAATGCACCCTAAATATGGTGATCTTAGGCTATTTGCACCTAAATTTGATACCTGCAAAAGCAGGTACACACACTGCAAAACTATGTTATTGTCCTATTACAAAATACGTTAGCTCTAAAGGCCTTATTCTGTTAAGTAGTGGGCAACTCCAGCTTTTGGGATTTGGGAATGTCCTGACATTTCACAAAAAATATCTAAGACCTAAGAGTATTGAGAGACCTAAATTTGATACCTGCAAAAGCAGGTATCAAATTTAGGTATGAATAGCTAAAAAGCCTTAATGCACACGTACACGCACTAAGGCGCATTAACACTGTGTATGTCGACTGACTTGTGACTAACTTTAGTCCCAAGTCAGTCCACACACTGTTAATGCACCTTAGTAAGTGCATGTGTAGATGTGTGCCCAAAGCAAGGCAGGCAAATCAGCTAGCAGGGATGAAGTTTTGGACTTAAAAAAAGTGAATTTCAACAAGTTCAGGGCAATAGTAATGGAAGCACTGAGGGTCCAGGGACTAAAGGTAAAAGGAGCACATGAAGAGTGGTCATTCCCCAAGGACACAATCCTCAAAGCACAAAAGAAGACAATTCCTGTGTGGAGGAAAGGTAGCAGAAGGGCTGGTAAGCCCTCTTGGCTTAATAGGGATATCATGGTCCTCTTGAAAAAGAAGAAAGAGGAATACAGAAAGTAGAAGCTTGGGATAGTTTCCAAGGAGGACTATACAACACTGGTCCGCCTTTGTAGGGAGAAGATTAGAAAGGCTAAGGTGGTGACTGAATTTAAGCTAGCAATGGGAATATCAAGGACAATAAGAAGTCCTTCTTTAGGTATGTAGGGAACAGAAGGAAAACAAGTGGAAGTGTGGGGCCACTGCTTAACAACTCAGGACAGCTGGTTACCGGCAGTCAGGAGAAAATTGAACTCCTGAACAACTACTTTGCTTTGGTATTTCACCGGACTAAGGACACTGGACATGTTAGATAAGGTTCAGAATGGGCATGGTGGGAATGACTACCTTCCTACTGTTGATGCTGAGCTGGTGCATGATCAGTTAGAAAAGTTAGACATTTATAAGTCAGCAAGATTGGATGAACTTCACCCAAGAGTGCTGAAAGAGCTGGCCGAAGTCATCGTGGGAGCTCTGGCAAAACTCTTCCAAAACTCGTGGCACTCGGGGGGGGTCCCTGAAGACTGAAAGAGGGCCAATGTAGTGCTCATCTTCAAGAAGGGGAGGAGAGAGGACCCGGGCAACTATAGGTCAATTAGCCTAACTTTTATTCCAAGTAAAATCCTGGAAAAATTCATCAAGGAGTCTATGTGCAATACACTTGCAGAAGGTAGGATTCTGAATGACAGCCAGCATGGCTTCATCATGGGCATGTCTTGTCTTATCAATCTCATCTCCTTTTACAACCAGGTAACTCGCTACCTGGATAAGAGAGAGAGAAGGTCGACATTATATACCTAGACTTCCAAAAGGTCTTTGATTCAGTATCCCATGATATTCGCATGGGAAAATTGGAGGATTGCAGGCTTAACTGCTCAACAGTTAGGTGGGTAGGAAGCTGGCTGTGAGGTAGGACTCAGAGAGCTCTAATGAACGGATCTGTATCATCCTGGTGAGAAGGGTGAGAATGCTTGGTGCAGTTCTTTTCAACATCTTTATCAATGATTTGGATGTAGGAGTGAAGAGCTCACTGGCCAAGTTCACAGATGACACCAAGTTATGAGACAGCATGGTCACACTTGAAGATAGGCTACAGATACAGGCGGACCTAGACAGGCTGGCAAGTTGGGCAGATCAGAACCAGATGAAGTTCAACATTGAGAAAAGTATAAAGTGCTCCATCTGGGGACCAACAATCCCCAACATACTTACAGGCTTGCTGCTGCCAAACTGACTAGCACCATGACTGAAAAAGACCTAGGGGTAATAACAGGCCATAGTATGAACATGATCTGTCAGTGTGATGCTGTAGCTAGCAGGGCAAACAATACTCTGGCGTACATCAACCAATGCATCTCAAGCACAACCAAGGAAGTGATTCTTCCGCTTTACTCAGCATTGGTGAGACTGCAGCTGGAGTACTGTGTCCAGTTCTGGGTGTCACACTTCAGCAAGGACGTGGAAAAGCTTGAGGGAGTCCAGAGAAGAGTCACCCATATGATCAGAGACTTGCACGGCAAGTCATATGAGGTAAGGCTGAGGGACCTAGGATTCTTCAGCCTGAAGAAGAGAAGGCTGAGAGGGGACCTGGTAACAGCTTACTGCTACATCATGGGCGTACATCAGGGGCTCAGTGAACAACTGTTCACCAGGGCATCCTTGGGGAAACCAGGAACAATGGTCACAAACTCCTGGAAGACAGTTTCAGGCTCAATGTTAGCAAAAGCTTCTTCATAGCTAGGGTGTCCAGACTGTGGAATAAGTTCCCTCCAGAGGTGGTGCAATCGCCTACCCTGAAAATCTTCAAGAGGAGACTGGGTGGTCACCTTGCTGGGGTCACTTGACTCAGCTGTCTTTCCTGCTTGGTGCAGGGGGGCTGGGCCCGATGATCTTCCAAGGTCCCTTTTGGCCTTACAATCTATGAATAGGGAATTCTTAGTACTGCTATTTACAGAAAGGAAAGGGAAGCATATACAGACTGAATAAATTGCCTGAGGTCACATAGAAATTCTGTAGGAAGGCAGAGTGCTTGTACATGTGATGAAACTTGGCTTTGTTTTTGTACACATGCAGGGGGGTTTTGTACAATTTAAATGAGTTTGCTACATTGCAAACTAAACCACATCCGCATGTAGTTTAGTTTGCAATGTAGCTTTTGTAATGTTGCAGCCTTTGACAGCTTGCTCCCCAACTGTGGGAGAGGCGGGCTGAGGGCAGAAGCAGTGAGAGGCCCAATCCCTTTTTATTTTTCCCCCCATGGAGCCTGCTCATGTCTCCCGCAGCCGTAAGGCAAGCTGCCAGTGGGCCAAGCAGACCCTGAACTGTGGAAAGCCCCACTCTTTCCTTCCACGGTGGTGCTGCCCCCTGGGGCTGCCCAGGTGGGCTGTTAGCAGGCAGGTGCTGCCCCAGGTCAGGCTCAGCGAACAGATGGATCA